AGAGAAAAGAGAGAGAGAGAGAGAGAGAGAGAGGATCGAAGAGGAGGCGCACACCGGCAAAAGGTGGCATTTATAATTTACGCACCGGCCGTTACGGTGACTAGTACATCATTGGGCAACATTTCGACGGGTTTTTGCCACCCCCGTCCTTAACTCGTCCGTTCGTCCACCTTACATAATATTATCAATCTCTCGTTCCGATGAGTGGCCGCTACTCAAGACCGTTCCAGGCCATCCTGCGCGCAATTTTCGTGATAAATTGCAGCGCTCGCTATTTTTGCAACGTTGTTTTGTCGCGGCGCGCAGGAATTTCTAGAGGCGAACGAGGGGAATGTTGAATTATCGCGCACGGCCTCAGACGGGATTTCACTTTTCTAAGCAAACAGCTTTTACATTCCTCGTGGATGGCGAGGTTTCTTCTCGATGGATTTCGACGGTGGAGATTTTTCGGGATTTTGGCGTGCCTGTGTCGCGAAGAGGTGTAGATCTATCAAAGAAATTTGGTTTCGTTCTTCCCGAATACGGTAGATTGTGGATTTGAGAAGTTTGATGGATTTTATTGCGTTTCCTGGGTTTATTTTCGAGTATTATTTTTTTTTTTTTTTTTTTTAGTACTCTTATTTTTACTTCGTGAATACGAGAGAGGATAATACGAAATGATGATTTACCGTTTTAAATTTTTATTTATTATGGTTACTTTGAAAAATCGAAGAGAAATACATCTCGAATAAGATACGAAATTTTTTACAAAGGAATGGCTATGTTTACGCTCCAAATTGAAAAAACCGTAAAATTGAAACAGGAATAAACATTAAAGAAAAATGATTGAAACACAATTGAAATGATAACAATATATAATATATATTTAAAATAACGATTTGTTTTTATGACAACCCGTATATGAAACTAGATAAGAAGCTAAAATCGTAATGCGTAGAAATTTCGTAAAGAGTATCACTACGCTCCCCATTATTCCAAAATAAAAAAAGAAATTTGAAAAGATCCCAACGTCTCTCAATCACCCAAGATCCTTCGTTCTCCCGCCCAAAAAACAATCTCCATCCCCTATCTCCCATTTATCCCTAACAACCTCTATATCCAGTCGATTCGAAACTGCCGATAGCTCGTAAATTGGCTCGTTTCCCGCTCTCGTTCGCGCATTGTTACAATTCCGAATTTATTCGAAGTGAACGTCACGTGTGCGCATCGTTCGGTTCCCTGCAACACGTCGCGTGCGTTAACTGAAATCGTAACATAAATTCCGCGCTTTTCGACCATCTCCGCATCTCTTCGGCCAGTCCTTTCCCCCTCCACTCCACTCTATTCTTCTCGTTCACTCGCTCACTCTTAGTCCTTGCTCCCATCCTTGTCGTGCGAACCGCTTCGTGTCCAGCTTTAATGCCGCTGTAAGTTATGTCGGGAAGAGGGAACGTGACTTTATTTCGCGAACAACACGGCTGTGTGTGTGTGTGTGTGTGTGTGTGCACGGGCGCTTTAACGAGTCGTGTTGGCCGCGGCGAGGCAAGGCGAGGCGAGCGGTTTTTTCTCGAGGGAGCTCGGCTATCTTTCGGAATTCGCGCGATGCGAATGGATCGGAACCAGATACTGACCGAACCGATTGGTTTGTCATTGCAGAAGCTGAACATGGCTACGCTTCGACGATGCCGATGCCCGATGATATGCGGACGGTCACAAAAAGGCCAAAGACGAAAAAATCCCAGGGCAGCAGGTTGGTATCTTGACGAAACACGTCGATAAAATAGATTTTATACGTGTTTTTTCAAATACTTGTCTGTCGAGTTTGATGTATCATTTGTTTTTTTCTTTTATTACTTTTTTTTTTTTTAATTCCTGGTTTTCGTTATTTTTCTTTGTTCCCTTTTAATTGTTTTTGGGGAGATTTGATTTTATTTTATTCCGAGTTGGATAATAGGTTTGATATCGGAGTTTTATTGAGTTTTTGAAACAATGATATTTTGGAGGTATTGAAATTTTAAATTTTGGAAGATTGAAAGTTGAAAAATTTGAAAAACTATATGAATACTCTTTTTAAAGAAAATTTTATTTGATTTTGTCTTTGTATTTTTGTTGACAATTCATTGAATTTTTAAATAATAGTCATTAAAGAATGATGGGATCGTTTATTTCGAAAAATTTAAAGTCAAAATTAATATACAATTTAATATACAATATTTTATATCTTTTATATAAAATATCGCTGTATTCAAGATTTTAATTATTTTTCACGAATATAAATCCAATTATTGTACAAGATTGTTAAAACAAAATCTGAACAAAGCGCTGCTGAAAGTATATCTTATCAGTATGTATTGTCGATAAATTTATTCTGAATTATGTTGATACGAAACACACTTCAAAAGCAGTTTCATCGTATATTGTGTCTTAAATAACTGCGCGGGAAGGTCATTGAACTCATTTCAAGAGTGTTCATCAATCGAAAACAGAATCGAAACCGACCATAAAATCTCTGTAATTCAATACTTGAAAATTTTAGCTGTCATTATTCCTTTATATTTCATTATAAATTTAAAATTTTTTTTGACAAAAATATTCAAATTTATAATATTTTAATTTTTTAATACTTATTTTAATTTCTGTTTATTTTTATATTTATTATTTTGTATAATATTAATTATTTTATTTTTTTTTATTATATTCATTTATCTTTTAATTCTTTATCAATGTATGAATTGAAAAAAAAGATTCAATTTTTTCATCGAAGAGATTTCAATTTTCAAGTCTTTGAATTCGAATTTATTAATATTTTGAAGCTTAAGCTTGTTCTTTTGCATTTTTGAAAATTTCGTTAGAAAAATTATTGTATTTATTTTAATATTATTATGTTTTATTCTATTTCTATTTTTATATATGATTCACATAAAGGTTTTTAAAAACGTTTCAGACTTAAGAACACATTTGATAATCAATGAAAATATTAGAACTACTTAATATGTTTAAATTTTTACAAATTTATATCTACACTTTATTTTATCTCTTGTGTATTCTATGATCTTTCATTAACGATTGACTTATTTGTAATTTGTATCAGGAAAAGAATCATTTTATAAAATAATTTTATACAATGAAAAGATTAAAAAATACTAATTTAAAAATTGTTTAATTCTTCGAACTGCTATCTATGTGGTTTAACACAATTTTAATTCACACTAGTAAGTAAAAAGCAAGCGAATAATATTATAATTAATTATATTTGAAAATGCAAACTTTTTTTCTTACCTTATTTATACTTTCAATGGGATTAATAATGGATAAATCGGGTTATATTATTTGACCCATGCTAAATTCACATACTCGGAAATAAAAGAGATATATATTATTATTTTAAAATAAATTAGTATTACATTTGGAAAACATGTATTTATTACAATTAAAATTTATAAATTACATATTTGGTATACACTATCAATAGTAAGTCAATAGATTTTATTTATTTGAATTATTTTCTCATTCATTTATTTAAATTACACTCTTATAAATTCCTACATCTCATTTGCTTTGCAAAGAACGTTTAGAAGTTTCTTCCTTCCCGCCTGTTTTAATTTTCTTAGCCACTTAAACACATCGTTTTCCCTTCCATTTCTTTCTTAATAACGCCAAAGCAAACGATTTCACTGCTTTGAAGTCTAACAAGAACGTTTTTTTCTTTTGCAGGACAACTCATAACGAGCTGGAGAAAAATAGGTGAGTACTTCATTTATCTCATTAACTTAATCCTATTTCGGCCTCTTGTTTTGTTTTGCTCGCATAATTAGAGAGCATAGCGCACGAATACTGGACAAAGTCGCCATCATTCACTGAAAGCAAACGAGAATTGGATATTTTATTCTCCTTAACAAGATCTCTTTACCTTAATTCGATTAATTTCTTTTTCCAAAAAGAATCCTTAATTTTGAAAGTTTTCCATATGCTGATTAATCGATCTATTCATTTTCGAGGTGATAAAATGAAAAGGAATCACTTCTCTTCGGAAAGTTTAAAAAGTTTTTTTTTTTTATTTCGTGTTAATAGATTTTTTTTATCAAATAGTTATGTTTTTGTTGAATTGAATTAATTTTTTTTTTATTAATTTCTATTTTTTAATATCATTTTTATCGAAGCAATAGAATATAAAAATATAATACGAATAATTAAAATATATAGTTTATAAAATGTTATATGCTTTTTAAATTGAAATTTCGAAAAACGAATATTAAACCTCATTGAATTTTAAAATTCTGAAACTATAAATATCAAAATTAATCATGTCGAACGTCGAAAAACAACGTCATTTTCGATAAAAATATAAAAATATATTGATCAAATAGTTAGCATTGTTAACAACAATGAAATAACTAGAAAATGAAAAGCATTCAATACAATTGTATAGATAGCTTTGGGAAAGATAAACTATTAGTTACATAAACATTTAATTAACTATTAAATATTATATATATATAATAATAAATTAATTAAACATATTATATTTAAATATTAATTACGATATTTTTTAAAATTTTATTTACAAATATATTATATAAATAATTATTATTCATCCAAAAAGAAAAAAAATTATTTTAAATATATTTCAAGTATTTGTAAAATATAATTCAATATATTTTAAATGCGTTGGAAAATTTAGCCACGAAAATAGGTAATTATATTTTATAAAATGTAACATTGTATTGAAGATGACAAATATTTAAACAATGTCGGAAATAATTATGATCGCCATTACAATAGCCAATTCCATGTTTCTTGAAAATTTCCAATATATTTGAATTTTATGAAAACACAGTTCTTCCAACAAAGCATAAAATATAATTCAACATTTTAAATATAATACTGCACTTCCCAAAATTATTTATATATAAATATTAATTCATGTTAAATATATAAATAAAATTTTAATATACTTTTGCCAGAAATTACGATACATTGATGTCTCACATATGATTCGACTGCAAATGGAATCTGAATAAAGATTTAGTTTATTTTATTTTAAATATTTTACATTACACTTTGTGTTCCCCACATTTTTCTACATTCAAACATCTCGTAAACACATAAAAACCTGCAGTCTAATAATTAAAAACGACCAATACTCGATTTAACAATTTAAATCAACAATCAATGAAAGAAAAAAAAAAAAAGGAAATTTATACACGTAATGGCGACGAGGAGAAGAGGATGAATAGCTGCATCACGCGACAAATGATTGTTCTCAGTCGCGTGTTAAATTGAAAGCAATTTACGATTATCTGCGGCCGTTGTTCGCGACGGTATAAAGGGCCTGGTCTGTTAATTAACATGCGTGATACGTGCGATTAGACGCGACCCTTTTATATATATACATATACATATACCGGGTCAGGAAAGTTCGAAATGGAGCGGAACAATGGCCGACCAGACCTAACTTGGGTTGGAACAGGTTTCTAAGGGTTGCCGCCTGCCCTAACCCCGATTGTCGACGTGATTTATAAGTCGTGGAGCCACGCTCTTGCTCTCTTGCGACCACTTCTTATTGCCACGGGAGTGCATGAAAGCGAAATATAGTTCGTCAAGATCCGCGGAGAGTAACTTGTAATTTGTTACTCTTTCGTGGCGAGAGGATGATGATCGATGAAAGTGTTCGAGCAACAGATTTCGTTCAAGTTGGAATTTTCGAGTTTGACGGTGGTATATGATGGAATCTCGACACTTGGGTGCAATTGTATTTCGCATTTTTGTTGCAAATTTTAATTTATGTATGACCATGTTTAACTATTTTTCTTATTATTGTTCGTAGCTAGAAATTTTCGAATGAAATATTAATTTTTTAAATGGAATTTTGCGTTTTTTAATACATGTTTGATGAAATTTTCTAAGAAATTCTCATTTCTCACCCGAACTTAAATCGAAAATCGATGTAGATATAGTTGGATGTTGTTCGATGTAAATTTTGTGATTTCATGATTTTTTTCGAATTTTTATATTTAAATTTTATACATTCTCGTTTCAACAAAGAATCTTTTATACACTATGATATATTTTGCAAAATATTTTTCTAAAAATTAAAAATATCGTTTGAAAAACAGAAATCTATTTGATCATTGAAGTTCAACCACTTTAGTCTCTAATCCAAGACGTTGTTCTGCAACTTTCCTTGAATTAGAAGTACAGACCACGGAACATGGTTCTTAGCCAAAAGCAAATGGAAGCAAACGTCGTGCAAACATCCCGATTGCTCTTCGTCAAGCAAGAATGATCACAAACGAAAGGTTAGCTTTGATTCTGCAACAGTATTCTCTGTCTTAATTTTCTTGTGCTTTCAAACTATCGGAATGATGATTAAATAATAAAGATTTATCGTGATAAGATTAAATAGCAAAGATTGAAAAAAAAAATAATTTAATTTATTTGACGAATTAATGGAGAATATTGAAAAATTGTTAATATATTATATTTCCTTTTTAAAATTATATATTTCATATATCTAATATATTCTTGATATTTTGTATATAATATTTTATAATATATTAATCATGAAAATGAACTGGAAAAATTCTTCTATAATATTTTTTTAATCACTATTTTTTTTTTTTCAAATTGATCTTATAATTTTATGAAATTTAAGTATAAAATGATGATTTGTTTAAATTATAGATATTTTTTTTAATCAAAATCGATATAATTTTTAATAATTTTATAATTTTTTCTTTCACGATCTTGAAAGAGAACGTTTTTTCAACAGTAGTGTATAAAAAAATTGAATAATTGGTACGTTTAAAATTTTAATCCATCTCGTACCGTGACAAAATTATATTCAAGAAAGAACGCAAAACTTCAGAGATTAGACTCACCCTTTCCGAATGAAAAGAAAATTATTCTTCATATATTTATGCTCTATATATACTCGCAAAGTTTCATTAAAATCAGAGGTTCTCTTCTTTATTAGATTTCTTTATTAATCCTTTCAAAATTAATGAAACAATGCATCCAAAGTAACTTTTATAAAGATGATAGAGATGTTAATTTTTCTTGACATTATTAACAAGAATTCTTGACATTATTAAAAATTCATTTTGGAAATTAAATTTCGTCCTTTCCTTTTACATTATATTTTGTATTATTATAATATTGTATTTATTACAGAAAAGAAAAATTCGTTCCAAAAAGAAAAAAAATTAATAATTGAAATGGTAGAAAATGACCTTCTTTTGAACCCTTTTTGTTGTACATCTTTTGTTGTTCATTTTAACAAAAGTTTATATGGAAATGAAGTGTTTTTCTGAAAGTATGTACGTATTCCTTTGGCAGACAAGGGTGATTAAAAAAATTCAAATGATCAAGAAGAAGGGACAATTTTACGTGCAAAGAAAGTTTCATTAAAGCCAGAAGTTCATAGTTTCGGCGATTTCCTTTCTTTATTAAAATGGTAAATAATCTCTCTCTTAAAAATCTTCTGAAATATTCTGTACATATACAAACGTCTTTTGTGCATCTTACATCTTCATTCTGATAATTAAAATTCTGAAAATCCATAAAATATAATATTAATCACGTAATTCAATAAAAATTCAAACATTTCAATGTATCGAAAAAAATCTAAATCCAAAACTTTACTCAACAATTTTATTTTATAGCCCCCTCTCATTTAATATAATATTTCAACAAGACACGATCGGTCTACTCCATTCAAACAATCTCTCGAACGGATGCATGTTTCATCGTTCCCGCGTAGAGGATTGAAAATGTGCATAAACGTAAAAAAAAAAAAGAAAAAAAAAATTCGTAGGCTTTGTTATTCGCTTGTACACCTTTTTGCCGCACGCCAGGAACAGCCAGAAAACTCGGTACACACGGTGTACCGGGCACACACGGGGCGCGCAGAACCCGGAGATACGCATGCTAGGGGATGATGGTCTGTACATATATGTGTATAGCTCGGTAACGTGAAAGAGAGAGAAAGAGGGTGAATCGTAGGGAGAGAGGGTATCGATTTTTTTTTGTCCCCAAGCGACGAAAGCGCAGCGGGAGGGGTGGTGCGTGGCACAGAAACGGACAATGTAAAAGCCCACACTGCCAACCGCCCCGTTACACCACGTAGTTACGTTACATAACGCAACGCAACCCACGAGACGCTGATGGAATCCGTGGCACACGAGGCTTCTCTGATACCGTTTAGCTCGAACATCAAAAAAACGGATGTTGTGTCTGTTTTTTTTTTTTAATATCCGTCGCAATATTACGTTGCGAGAACGTAGGAACGTAGCGTTAAACCGAACGTGTTACCGCTCCTATGTCTTGCGACGTAATGCTCCACGACGGACGTTAAGACGGACGTAATGTCAGTTTCTTGACGTTCGGGTGATCTCGGTCTTAATCGGTCGGTTCCGCTGTTCCTGAAACGCGACACGCCAATTACGGTTCACGTACATGAATTTAAAATCTTATTTATCAAAAATGTAAATCTTTATTTATATATGCCTCGTGAATTCTGATATTTTTATTTTCTTACTTTTACTAAACGAATGATTTTTTTTTATTTTTTAATTATATTCAACAGGTTTAAGGATAGTTTTATGAATAGCTAGTCGAAAAAATTTTTATATTGTTTTTGATTTGTGTCTATTTGTATCATTATTTCTGGAAAATAATAATAGTAATAATAATCTGGAATAAGATTTTTTTTATTAAATTAATAATTTTTCTTTTTTCTCTGA